TGACGTAAATTGTTTTATGCATCGGCATGTAAACAAAAAAAAAAAAAAAAAACAACAACAGCAGTTTGCGAATTGATATCTGCAGGACAGGACGAAAGCCAATGCTTGGAAAGAGTTGTCAGCTCATTTCGTTCTCGACAGTGAACGCGCTGCGATAGCGGTCCTGCGTACGGCACAGCAGGCAAAGAAATAAAATAGTTAATAAACCGTATTTTTCTCACGGCCAAATATTGTGCTAGCAGGATATAACACATATCGCCGTGTGACACAAATGACTGAATTAGATTCGGCTTTCCATTTATTTTACAACACAAACTTTTGAACGCACCTTTACCAAACCTGAAAATTTTTTGAAGCGACCACAAAACCCGGTAAAACAACTGCGAGCTCTGTGAGCTGTTTCTTCGTCGGTTAGGCTTAGCGGAATCACCGCCGCGAGATTTATGATCTCGTAAAAGCACTGGGAATACTTCACACGTTGACTTTTCCTGTTTCCGTCACAAACAAATGTCGTCCTGTCCGTTATAAACCTCACACCGTCGAATCTACAAGCACTCTGTAGAGCTACATATCAATCGCCGTCTCGCCGGAGCCCGCACACCACCACAGACCACTGCAGGCCATCGTCAACAAAACCACGTAATCCCCGTCCAAGTACAACGTGACGCCTGTGCCAGCCTGCGCCGCTACGCACTCCGGCGGCTACGGACGGAATGCTAGAGAGCGCTCTGAGAGAAAGAGGCGCCCTCGGAATGAACCAGCCGATCAGGCCACAGCACTCTCTTTCCACCACTCGATATCGCACGCTCTGGGAAGAGCGCTCGAGAGCGCGCAGAAAGAACCACGCGAATTCGCCATAAGTTGATGTCGATTGCACCACTGCTAAACCACGAGAGGAGCACCGTGATAAACAATCATTCCTCGAAATCGGTTTGACGCGCAGTGTTTTGTTATTATGTGTGAAATATCACATCGAAAACCTAAATATAATAAGTGTTTTGCTTTTGCGGCACTCTATTTTTTTCTCTAAGTCTAAGGGTGCACATAAATGAGTCTTACTTTAAAACGTCCGACCCGTCTGGCCACACTGGCCCTAAATCATCTGCGTTTACGAGTTTCCATTACGAGGTGGGCGACCTTCTTTTGTTTAGCAGCTCCATTGTTCCGCGAAGTTCGAACTTAAGTAGCTATAATGCCCGGCAGAAACGATCCACGTCGGAGTCTCACGGTTGCGCCAGTCACGCCATCGAAAGGGATGGACGACGACGAGAATAAAGGGTCCTGGGCGGGAGAGTCGCGCGACTCGTTTAGAATCTCGAAACAGATCTCGCAGGGGTCCATCGTGTTCGGGTTCGTAGCAGACATTGTTTTCCACGTGCCGCCGCTGCTACCTACTAGCTAGAGTGTGCGTTCATCGTTAATGTATTATTCCATCACATTTGTGTTCACAATCATTTCGTAATTTGCTACTTACGTATATATATATTCAATTTTGTTACAATGCATTAAACAATATATATTATTACAGAGCTCATGAGATGCCTAGAGAAAGAGGAGGTAGAGGATCGCCAGCGCGCTCGCAGCACGGGGTTCAATCCTCTGTCTACCACCATTACCCAGCTATAAATAAATCATCATCTTTTTCACCGTAACATTCTTTGGTGGAAGTGCGGACCCATATCCGCCCTGGACCTTCGCAGCAGGAGTCTTCCGCCCGCATCCAACATGACTCCACTCCCTGCGACACCACCCGAAGGCGCTCCACCTACGCCCCCGCAACCCTTTGTCCTCACAAAGCCACGGGACCCCGGACCTTTTACCGGTACAGGCCACCAGGAAATAGAAGACTGGATCGACCTCTATGAAAGAGTAAGCTTGCATAACCGATGGGACAATACCATCATGCTCGCGAATATTATTTTTTACTTGCGAGACACCGCCCGGTCATGGTTCGAAACGCATGAGGAAGAGATCACCTCTTGGGAACTCTAAGTCCAAACTTCAAGATATTTTTGGACGTCCCACCGGGCGTAAGCGGTATGCCAAGCGTAAGCTGGGTTCCCGCGTACAAACATCTACAGAGTCATACGTCACTTATATACAAGACGTCATCTCTCTCTGCCGCAAGGCTAACCCTGAGATGTCAGACACTGACCGAATCGAGCACATCCTAAAAGGCATAGCAGACGATGCCTTCCAGCTGCTTGTAATCAAAGACTGCTCGACGGTCGACGAGGTCATCAAGGAGTGCCGCCGCTTCGAAGCTGCTAAAACACGAAAGATAGCACACAAATTCAACCGCTTGCCCAACACACCGGCAAATCATCTTGCGAAGACACAGATGCCAGTTCGGTACAGATTACCAAAATCTTCCACCGAGAGCTGGAAGCAATGATGCCTAGTGAGGGCTCCTGTTGCCCTTCCGAGTCACCGAACGGGACAGTATCGATAGCTTCTGTTCAAAGTGTCGTCAGGAAGGAAATGGAGAAGCTCTGCGCTTTTTCATGCCCCCGCTTCCAACCCACCCCTGACCATCATATTTCTGATCGTTGCCCCTGTGAACCTCCAACTGCAGCGACAGTCTTCAGACCGCCCTAACGTCGGTACCCAGCCGCATGGAGAACACCCGACAATCGGCCAATTTGTTTCCACTGCAACGTGGTTGGTCATGTCGCCCGCTATTGCCGCGACCCATGGAGCAACCAGCAACCCAGGTTTCCATTTTCCAGCTCCAGTGGCCCTTACAGGGGAAGCGTCTCTCCATTTCCCGGGCTCCCCGCGAATGAACAAGTATATTATCGCTCGTCACGCAACAATCGTTCTCCATCGCCGCGCCGTCGCCAGTCGCTGTCTCCAGTCATCCGCCGCCAACTGTCGCCGTCCCATGACCTTCGACCTTCGGAAAACTAACCAATGCAGCTTCAAGAGGTGAGGTTGCATTAGAGTCCCCAGCCCAAAATCCTCCACGAAGCATCGCCGCTATAGCCAAGAATCTACTGCTGATCGACATTGACGGTATTAGCACATTTGCCCTTGTTGATACCGGAGCCGCTATTTCCATCATGCGCGAACACCTCAGACGACGCTTACGAAAAGTTCTGACGCTACCTGACGCAAACATTCTGCGCGGTGCAGACGGCGGCGCAATTTCTCCTCCAAGGTATGTGCGGTGCTCGCATAACCTTTCATCATAAGACCGCATCTGTTCTTTTTACAGTCCATAGAAGCTGTCCTCACGAAATCATACTTGGTTGGGACTTTCTGGCCACTCACTCCGCTCTCATTGACTGCGCTAAAGGTGAAATTGAACTCGATGCTACAGAGGCCTGCGATGTTTCAGACCCCATTGGGGCAAAGCTGTGCTGTCTTGAAACATCACGCATACCGCCATTGTCGGCTGTAGCGATCAATGTCACAACCACTCAATCGATCCAGGACGGTGACTACATAGTCTCACCTATTTTGAACATGTTGCTTGAAAAACAACTCGCCGTACCACACTGCATTGTAGCAATCCAGAATGGTGCCACCGATATATTGGTGCTTAATATCACTCGCAGTCCACAAATTCTCCCCAAAAGTATGACAATTGCGCGCAGCTTCTCGACTCTTGAGTCCACCGTCGCCGTCATTGCTGAAGAAGTTCTGCCACCCAAACCTCCTCAACCACTCTCGGAGACTGACCTTGCCTATATTTCCACCATGATTGACCCAACTTTTAACAGAGACGAAGCACAGCAACTCCGCAGCGTACTTTGCAAGTACCATTCTATATTTGACCTTACAAGCCGCCCTCTCGGCCAGACAACTTAAGTTACTCATCGAATCAACACCGGCTCCGAACCTCCCATCCACAATCGTCCCTACAGGGTGTCACCAAGCGAACGGCGCGCTATTCAGCAGGAAGTTGACAAGATGCTGTCGCGAAACATTGTCCAACCCTCGTCCAGCCCCTGGTCCTCTCCTGTTGTTTTAGTAAAAAAGAGGGACGGCTCATGGCGTTTTTGCGTCGATTATCGTAGGTTAAATAAGCTCACGAAACGAGATGTGTATCCTCTGCCACGCATCAACGACACTCTCGATTGCCTACAGGGAGCGGAATATTTCTCATGCATTGATCTTCGCGCCGGCTGCTGGCAGATTAACGTTGATGAAGCCGACCGTGAGAAAACGGCATTCATTACGCCCGACGGACTTTTTGAATTCAAGGTCATGCCCTTTGGCCTGTGTAACGAACCCGCAACGTTCGAAAGAATGATGGACCGCCTACTCAAGGGACTAAAATGGGTCACTTTCTTGTGCTACCTTGACGACGTCATCTTCTCTGACACCTCCCCAAAACATCTTGACCGTTTGACCCAAGTGCTTGCAGTCTTTCAACAAGCTGGGCTACAACTAAATTCAGCTAAATGCCGGTTCGGCAGTCAACAAATTAAAGTTCTCGGACATCTCGTGGACAAACATGGTGTTCTACCCGACCCTGAAAAGATTAAGGCTGTCAAAGATTTCGCCACGCCTCTTTCTTCAAAAGACGTAAGGAGCTTTTTAGAACTTTGCTCCTACTTCCGCCGCTTCATCAGAGACTTCGCACACATAGCACTCCCACTGATATCTCTCCTGAAGAAAAAAATCAAGTTTTCGAGTGGACGGATCCTCATCAGATTCCTTTTGCCCATCTGAAAAATGCTTTGACCTCCAGCCCCATTCTCGGCCATTTCGATGACACGGCGCCCACTGAAATTCGCACTGACGCCAGTGGTCACGGTATTGAAGCAGTTCTCGCACAAAATCAGTTCGGAAAGGAAACGGTAGTTGCTTACGCTAGTCGACTACTTTCACCGGCTGAGCGGAATTACACCATTTCCGAGAAAGAATGCCTTGTAGTGGCGTGGTCGGTCTCCAAATTTCGACCATACCTTTATGGACGTCCCTTCCGTGTCATCACTGACCACCATGCCCTTTGTTGACTTTCGTCATTAAAAGATCCCATTGGTCGCCTTGGACGCTGGTCTCTCCGCCTTCAAGAATATGATTTCACCATCGTATATAAATCAGGAAAGATGCACCATGACGCTGACTGTCTGTCTCGCTACCCGGTAAGTCCAGCTAACTACAACACCGATTCAACTGAACTCCTAGTTCTGCCGATATCACGGCTCCTCAACCTCGCTCACGAACAGCGTCGTGATACAGCTCTGAAGCTTCTTATAAGACGCCTCTCAGCTGATGCAAACCAGCCGTCCTCGGGACTCTTTCGTATCCGCGACAACATTCTATACCGCCAGAACTTGAGACCCGAAGGATTACCATGGCTTGTCGTGATTCCTAAACACCTGCAGGCCACAGTTCTTCACGAACTACACGACGCGCCTTCACCAGGTCACCTGGGTCTTCTTCGCACTTACGGAAAGGTTAAAGGGGCACTGACACCCCAAATGTCGTATTTTTTTTATTGTCTGAAACGATGCAAATTGCAGTCATAGACACGCAAAAAAAAAAAACGCATCGCGAAAAAAACTTTTCCGCGCGCGCGCGCGCCTTTTTATTTTTGGCGTTTGATTTTCCCGCCTCTCGCCTCCTCACTACTTTTGATCGGTGACGTCAAAAATCAGGAAATTTAGAAGCTTTGTAGGCGACATCTCTATAACATTTAATTACGGCAATCCTAAAACATGTTTTTAACGCAATTGTGAACGCACTACGGCCCTTCTTTTTGAAATACCAAAAATCGGAAGTTCGTTGTGGTGACGTCTCCTGGATTTGTATCCCCCCACGGAAAACAGGCGACACCGCTGAAAACCGGCCCGCCGCAACGCCGGCGCTCGCTCCTCTCCTCCTTGCTTTGGGTCGCCATGGCAAGAGTAGAGAGTCGTGAAAAAAAGTGGACTCTCAGGAGTCCGCAATATTTGACGTCAGCGCACCGGCGCGGATCGTGCGGGAACTTCGAATTCGGCATTTGGAAATTGTTTTTTTACTTCACAAATACTGAATTCCCAAATTTCAGATTTTGAGGGTAATGTCCCGGCATTGTTTTCAATCGCTTCGGATAATAAAAAAAATATGATTTTGATGTTTTTACTGGCCGGACATGTACCGAACTGTAAAGAGGTACGTCTCTTCATGTGACTTTTGTCAACGTCGAAAGAAACAAACCATCAGGCCATCAGGGCTCCTTCAACCGCTGCACCCTCCGATCAGCCCGTTTTATCGTCTAGGGATTGACTTCCTCGCACCATTTCCTTCGTCACGCTCTGAAAACCGCTGGATTGCAGTAGCAATTGACCGCACCACTCGTTATGCAGTCACACGCGCTCTCCCAACCAGTACTGCTGTCGACCTGGCCCATTTTCTTTTGGAGGATGTCATATTAAAATATGGCGCACCGCGAGAACTTCTTAGTGACCGTGGACGCTCCTTTCTGTCACGCGTTGTGCCTGAAGTACTGAAGGCCTGCTCGGTCCACCATCAAGTGACGACCGCTTACCACCCACAAACCAATGGGCTCACTGAGCGGCTGAACCGAACGTTATCCGACATGCTGTCAATGTAGGTGTCGTCAAATTATAGAAATTGGGATGATGCACTGCCATGCGTCACTTTTGCATATAATTCATCCCGCCACGATACTACTGGTTTCACACCCTTTTTTCTCCTCTTTGGCCGTGAACCACCATTAATGCTTGACTCCCTCCTTCCACCCCAACCAGACGCTTCCCTCACCGAATTTACATCCGATGCCATAAGTAGGGCTGAAGAAGCTCGTCAATTAGCTCGCATACGCACGCTTGACTCACAAGAACGCCAGTGTGCCCGCTACGATAGCTCTCATCGACACATCCAATACTCTCCTGGTGACCTTGTATTGCTGTGGACGCCGCAACGTCGTGTCGGACTTGCTGACAAACTTCTCCAGCGCTATACAGGACCATACCGGATACATCACCAGTTGAGCGACGTTACATATGTCATTGAACCCCTCGAGCAACAAAATGACAGACGTCACAGGGAAAGGGAGACAGTGCACGTGCTTCGGCTCAAGCCATATATTCTCCCAACGACCACGTAGCTCAACGACGAGAAGTCGTGGCTTCTTGGAGGGGGGGTAATATTACAGAGGTTATAAGATGCCTAGAGAAGAGGAGGTAGAGGATCGCCAGCGCGCTCGCAGCACGGGATTCAATCCTCTGTCTACCACCATTACCCAGCTATAAATAAATCATCATCTTTTTCACCGAAAAAATATTTATATATCTGTGATTTTTATTTTGAGTTCGTAGATCCGAGGCTACTCCCTGTAGCAATAAAGGGAGCTTGGCGAGCTCCGTTTAAACCAGGACCTCCCTTAGCGAAAGGGACATTTATGTGCGGTGTGATCGCGATCTCCGGCTCCCTTTACTACAGGTACCTGTGCCAAAGGTACCTTTACGCTGCCATGTGAATTGATTATAAGAGCAACATACTTTTAGCGCATGTAGCTCTTAGCGCAAATTTAGCGGAGAAATATTCCCGCTAAATTTAGCCGGGAATTTTTTCGCGAGATTTAGCGGAGAAATATTGCCGCTAACTTTAACATAGAAATTACCTCACTAAATTTAGCAAGGAAGTTCCCCCCACATATCTTGCGGGGTATTTTTCCGCGAGCTTTAGCGGGAAATTTCCCCCTAGATTTAGCGGAGAAATTATTCTGCTAAATTGACCGGGGAAATTTCTCCGCAAAATTTAGCGGAAGGATTTCCCCGCTAAATTTAGCGGAAAAAATTTCCCCGCTAAATCTAGCTGAAAGGTTTCCCCGCTAAATATAGCGGGGAGACTTCGCAATTATATTTAGTGGGAAATTCTCCCCGTTAAATTTAGCGGAAATAATAAACAGCGGCGCCGACGGCGTCGCCGTCGGCGTCGGCGTAATTGCGCGGTGCATTATGGGAAACGTCCCATAATGCACCGTGCCAAAACCTCCCCATGGCGAAACGTCACCGTGACGTTTCGGTGGAAGTCTCGTGCCGAAACGTCACGTGACGACGCGCGTTTAGCCAACACCCCCACAAAACTAAGGCCGTAGCGCTTTTCTCGGGACGTGGCAAAGGAAGGCCATCGGGGGCGCGCGTCGAAGCGAAGGCGACGCGCGTGGATCGACCGTCGTAACGCGTTTTTAGTCACATACGCGTGTCATATTAGCTAAAATGAGAGCTGCACAGAGCAGCGAGCCTACAAAACATTTTATTACGCGGGGAAAATATTACGCAGCTAAATTATTCGGTAGGAATTGGCACGAGGTATACGTTAAGACGTCTATAAAAAATTGTGATCGTTTTTTTTTAAGTCGAAAACATTGAGTCACGCCAATATTGTTATAGAAATGCATATTTTATATAATACTACTTCGACAAAATGGCGACACACGCAGTGATCGGACACGGCAAAACAGATAACAGTTAAAATCAGGTCAACGCGGACACGGCTAGACAAGTACGCTATCTTATCGCGTGCAGTCACTGAATTCTTGCATCATACCCCGGCCACATGGCAAAGTTAATGTAATGTCGATAGAATGAAATTATGGGGTCGACAAATGAGCTGGCGACGCTCGTATGATCACCTCAAGACCACCCGCTTAGTAAATCCCATATCCTTGAAAGAAAATATATTACCTTTTCTGAGTGGCATGGCTACTAAACTTAATTTTTACAGTCAACTAATTTACTTCTCCCTATGGGCTCAAGCTGCCATAGAACAAAATATAACTTACTTTATCTACAATATTAATATTACCCTAATACAGTTAAGATTGTAGCATAAACGTGGTAAAGGCAACGAAATAACATTAATATAAATTAACACAAGCACAAACAACGGACCTTCAATAATCACACAAACTTGTTATTTACCTTCCAGTGAAAACTAGAATATTACCACGCATATTTACAAATCTCGACGCAACTGCACGCAGATAACGACGAAGAAAAAAATTCAATTCTATCACAATATAAAAAAAAAATAAAAATGATTGCAGTACTTTATTCGCGTCTTACATGACCAAGAAAGTCCGTTGTTTTTCACCTGTCGATCGTATCCATACGTCTTGCTATATCCGCCCCGAAAACATTGGAACATGAACTCCAAAAAGTCTGTCTCTTTCGAGAGAGAGCTCTGTGGACAATCGACCAGTGTCATCGTTGGCTAGTTGCCACACACGTCACTCAAACTGTAGCAGGACTTGTTCCGCAAATCCACGTAAATATCGCAGTATCAAACGAACGGCACACACAAAAAAACAAAAAAAACTACTAGAGACTGCTGTGACGACAGAAAATCGACGGCGAGGAAAGAAGTCTCAAAAGAAACACACACCAGAGCAGGGGCAGCATTGTGGGACGAGAGGATTAACGTTGTCGACCCATCTCTTACTCGTGTGAGCCCCCCGCGGCGATGACGATTTTTTTTCTGTGTCCTTCCCCTTTGATATGTCTCAGCGTTCCTCTTCAGAGAGTCAGCAGCTCACACACAACGTAAATTTACCAGAATCGGAGCCCGCATGAGGAAAGAAAATGTCGCACTGGAGCCGGTTCATTCGAGAAGTATGGGAGCTGTGTGGCTGCACATTGTCCCGCGGTTACGGGGATAAACATAAATATAAAGTTCGTACTTTCAACCTTGGTAACACGTTGTAATTGCGTTTATATTATATATAGAATAAGTTATACAAGGCTGCGCTTTTAAAACGTAAATTAATGTCGGATAAACGCGCACGAACACCACCGCGCCGCCCGACAAGAAACATTTTTTTTTTACGTCGATACCAGATTTTTTTTCATGTAGTTGCGGCATGGACTTCCTTTTCCAACATCGCGACCTAACCACTCGGAGCACTACGGCTTTCTTTCTAGGAGATATAGACCATTTGCTATAACCCCAAGTGCCCCGGCCCGCGCTAAAAAAAATAATGGCAACGTGTTCCTTCAGCCGCTTAGTGATCGGTAATTTCGACCCTATTCTGGTATACGCTGGTTTTGAGCGTAATTCGGAGTCACCCTTAACAAGCGCCTGATATACCCCTAAGACCTGTCATATCGCTTTTAAAATTTCTCCAAAATATCAGCGTTTTTGATACTGTGCATGCTGTCCAGCCTTCAACCTGGATGGGATGCAGAAATCTCTTACATTATTATCATGCTGATATTAAGCTAGAAATGCTAAAAATACTATAAACAGCCCCGCGGACTCCGAGCTAAGTTCTGGTTTTTGTTGTTGCGAATTATCGGCTTTTTAAGCAATTCTTGCTGAAACAACAATCACGAGAATGATAATATTGTAAGAGATTTCTGCAGCTCAGGCCAGGTTGAAAGGTGGATCGCATGCGCAGCATAAAAAATGCTGACGTTGACGAGCAGTTTTAAAAGTGATATGACAGGTCCTTGGGGTATATCAGGTGCTTGTTCAGGGTGACCTCGAATTACGCTCATTAACTGCGTAACCATAAGATGGTCGAAAATTAGCGATCACTAGGGTTTTGAAGGAACACCGTTCCCATGATGCCTTGAGTGCGGGCCGGGGCGCTTGGGAATACGTGAAAGAAGGAGGATGGGAATAGGAGAGGGTAGGGATGAGGAGGAGGGGCATACCCTCCCCTCAGTACCCGCCCTTCCTCCTCCTTAAGAGCTGCACTCTAAATCGGCGTTACAGGGAGTTGTAAACGTCTTTCATACTTTCCTTTTTTGTCCTTTTAGAGTTGTGATGTAGGCGAGTTGGTTCGCTTTAATTCGAAATAAACAGCGCGCAAAAATAGACAAGGAGAAGAGGGAAGATGCGAACGACACACGCGCTAAACTCACAACTAACCATTTAGTTAAAAAAAAAACACTATTGTTCTTTTTTTTTACACAAAAAAATTAATTGGTTAAGCGCCGTTCACACATATGCAACCGAGTATGGCCTCATTCGCACAGCACGCGCGTCTCCCATCCCGTCACCGTCACGGGAGCACGCCGGGGTGGGGACGCGACGGCAGGGTGCCCGGACAGGCCGCGCAAGGAAAGCGACGGCGGCTGCGACGGCAGGATTGGATTGGATCGGATTGCGACGACTGATTATCAGATAGGAAGAATTCTATTCATTTTATTCTAATAGTTCTTTTAAATGTTTTAAACGGCAGTGTATACGCTTATTTATTCAACTTAAATTACAAAATAAAGAGATAATCGTGCCTCAAGATTAGCGCGC